GGTAAAGTCTTGGTCATGCTGAGCTGCCATAACCGTAGAAGGGTAGTGACCAGCACCAGTGACTTTAACTCCTGGAATGTTTGACTTTGTAGATGGATCTGCATCTAGGGGGGTCAATTATCCCTACTGGATATTTCTTCACATCTTTACTGCTATGCTGCTCGGGTTCCTCGTAAAAGTACAATTGCTTCATTGGACGGTCACAGCACACATGCGATGGCAGGGAATTAGGTACAGTAAAGCCGTCAGTCAGAGTTAGCGTTGTTGCCAAATGACGTATGGCACCAACGAAGGGGGATTTTATGGGAGTTTGTTTGTTCATGTCCATATCAACAAATGGCAAGATGTGGCCTATAAATGTCCTCACTTGCTAAACGATAATTGACTGTAGATATACTCACTCCACACAATTCAAGGCAAGATAAGGACATTTCATAAGGAAAGCAGTCTACTTGAGGTTAACAATACATATTGAAACTGACTTCTTGTTTTTAAACTTGGATAGTGTAATAAAATTACATAATAACCCAACTGTACTTGGAAGCAATTGTGAAAAATAAACGGCTGGACATTTATTTCCGTTTCACAAGTTTTTTTGTCCCCCATATAACAGTAGTTTCACACCAGAATCACCATTCTCATCTGCGTGACAAATGAAAGGTATATTTGGATAGTGCTGCTTAATTTTTCCCTCGTAGACTTTTCCTAATTTCTAATCTAGCTGCTTGATAACAGAATTATTGCCTTTAGTTAAATTAGATGTGCAAATGAAAATAACTGAACAAATATTGTTTTGGTTTGATGTAGCAAAGCTGTTGATGCTAATAATGTTTGTTCACCAATTAAATTATGAAAATGATAAACCCTTTGATCATAGCAACCAACGTTCTGCCTCACAGCTGAACCCGTGGATGTGCTCAAGGTCTTAGACTTTAAAAGTTCACCGGAAGGAGTGAAGAAAACACAAGGCTTCTGCACCATCCGGAGAGGATCCAAACCAGATGTGGCCTACCGAGTGGACAAACGGGCTCAACTCAGCACCCCAACCAAGCAGCTCTTCCCAGGTACGTGAATTGTTTTAATCTATGTACTCTCATCCCTACTTACTCTTAAATACAGCAACTTTTCTGCTTGGGCAAGGCTGTAAATCACCTCTAAATGTTGTTTAATTAGTTTTCTCTTGGAAAGTTAGTTAAATCATGGTAACCACAAATTAACCATGGTTTTGCTACACTAACCATACTAACCATGGTATTTGTAGTAAAACTGCGGTTATTACAGTTTTTCTGAATTGCTAAAACACATTTCTTGAAACCATCACTCAGTTTCTCAATACCTTAAACACAAATCCAAATACTCAAAACTAAATTCACGAAACCTCTGACTCTTCCATCAAAATCAAACAATCACTGCAAAACCATTTCACTTGCACTCAAAATCAAACCGTGCTCTCAG